TTGAAGTCATCACCGACTTGAAGAAAAATTATAGAGTCTTCCACCTTCCTTAACTTACATTTGTAGAAAAATTTGGAAAATATTGAGTTGAAGACCAACACCATTCATGGAGAAATCTAGATAATTTTGAGAATTCCCAGCAATAGAAGGAATAATATAGAATTTAGTTGAACCAATTCCACCGACTTCCTACCTCTTCATATAGTGTTGTAGTGTATTGCATATGAATGTGTAGATGAAAGAAGTGAAAGACAAAATATATGATATTAAGTGTATGTGTGAAGTGGGGAGAAAGGCAGTGCATATATGGTGAGAGAAAGAGAGAAAAAGGTCTAGTGGAGTGGAGTAAATTATTGATAGCACTTCTAAAATAAAATAAGAGAAGTGTGTGTGTGTGTGTGTGTCTTTGGGGTGTAAAAAGCAATTGTTGTTAATAAAAGAAAATTTAATTTGTGTTCCAAACTTAACAAAAAACCGCAAAAAAACCACCAAAAAAAATAAAGGGTATTGTAGTTACAATTATGAGGAACAAGATTCTTGTGCGTGGATTATAAGTTTGTGTATGTTTATATTATGATGGGTTTTTTTGAGAGAGAAGGGTTAGAAATGGGTTTAGACGGTGAATAAGAATTATGTTAAGTGTCCATTCCATGATGTATATCTTTGTGTACATTCCATTGTATTTCATAAAGCGTTGGGTGAAAAATTGTGTTTTTTAACCATCCAATCATAGATAGCCATGTGGCACAATGTAAAAAATGGTGTAAACAATAATATACATATAGCATGATTGGGTAGATAAAGGTTGGGGATAACTACTTTAATTTATTGTTAAGGTAATTAGCACAAAACGTTCCTACATTTCAAGTTTATTGTGAAAAACGTCATTATCTTTCATTATTTGGCATTTTTACCGTTATTTTCATTTTATTTTATTTTTTTGTGCAAAAAAAGTCATTCCATCCACTTACTGTCAGTTGCTCTATTAAGTCAATACAAAAGCACAATTTTATTTTTTAACACCAAGGATAAAATAGTCTCAACCCATTTAACCTCTTTTTTCGGCCTTCAAAATAGTTATTCCATAAGTAACAATAATATGAGTATGAAAGTAATTGATGAAATTATTACATTAAATAAAGAAAAAATGGGTGAAGAAATACAAACAATGGCTGCTGTCATGATTGGTTACTGAAAAGATTTATATTGATAAATGAAAATATATATTGAATGGGTGGTCGATGAACTAGCGATGTTCATTTTCATTTTTAGGCTTATTAAGGGTGTCACCAAGGGAAAAATTGAGGAGAGCAATTGCAAATTTATTGCTGTAAAGTACATATCCAATTTCAATAGTGAATGGTCCATTTGGCTCAATGGTGAAGATGAACTAGTCTTGTTCAATATCGAATTAATCTTGTGATGATAATCCCTATGTTGTAATACTTTTTTCAAAGAACATCCCTGCCTTTAAAAATTCTTTGCGAAAAAGTCCCTACCTTTACTCAAGTGCCTTCTCCAATTGTTCTATACACTTGCCAAGGTGAGATGTCACTCAAACTATCCTACTTAACCCTCTCCATAAATATACTAATTGACATGTTTGCTTCAGCATCCAAGATTACTCCGAAGTTCTTATACATAATAGGGCAAATGTGATCTTCTACAAAAGTTTAGATCGCAAAACTTGTTTTACTATGTTCCTTGGTAGTATACAATACCCATGGGCAATCTCCCTTACACTTAGCTCTTAATATGTGAGTTTCATGACGTCATCCTTTCTAACTTAATCTCTTTGTTGCTTCTAACTAAATGGGCAGTGATTGCAGCTTTTAACATTTCCTTTGACTCAAATACTAAGCCTACACACTAAAAAAATCAATGCATATAAGATGTCATCAAACTAAAGTGCAAAATAGGTTTAAATTGAAGTAAACAATATGTTTCCGTTACATTTTCCAAACACTGGATCCTCCATACCTGTTGTACATTGAAAGCATCATTGGAAACCCTACTTCTTGAACTTGTATCGCACTCCTCTTCACTATAAATGCATCATAAATCATCGGAGTCCCCATAGTTGGTATCCAAATCCCAAACTTGCTGCTCATTTGATATACCAAATCCAAAATCAAAATTAACCAATTCACCCCAGCTTCAGCAGTAGCTTCAAGCTCTTGCTCCATCTTATAATCGGATTCTACCAAACCTTTGATTTCCTCTTCACTCTTAGTTTTTCATTTTGATCTTCAACCACAACTTCATCCTCTTCCACACTCAAATCACCCACATTTGTATTTTCCTCATTCTGGTATTGTAAGGTTTCATCATACTATTACCACAACTCTTCAGCATTCTCTTGCACAAATTGGTCTGACCAATTACCTTCAGCCTTCCCTCCATTTTCTGCAACGGATGATACATAACAATCTTCAAATGTTCGGTCTTCATCAACTTGTGAAGACCAAGGATGCAAAGGTAATGCTACGGTTGCAATGGGGCTACGACATATAACTTCACGTTTGGATGTCCATCCCTATTCTAAATATTTCCTTCATATCCTCTTCACTCTCCAATCTCATCAACCCTTTCCTTAAACACCCTTCTATCACAAATCATTTACTCAAATTCTCTTTGGTGTATCATTTACCATGAAAGAAGTCAATGAAAAAGCACGAATCCCTTTTCATATGCTACATTGTTTGGCTTATCATAAAATTGACCTCTATAATGTACTTTAGCGGTGATATATTGAGAATTAACACTTGCATGCAATAGTATAAAGTTCACTTCAAATTCAAGCAATAAATTGGGGAGTTTCAAGCTTTGATTCGAAATGTCAAGTAACTTGATAAACACTGAATGCACAATGAATTCACAGCAAAGTGAAATATGCACAGTGACGAAGAAACACTGAATGCACCACACTTAAATGAACATAAATTGGGGGATTGCACACTAAAATTACGTAAATGCATAGTGGAATTGGATGAATTCACGCAAAAAATTAGGGATGAATACTATACCGTACATGGATACATTGTTGCCGGAATTGCTCAAAATGGAAGACACGTGTTGCTCCTCGAAGGCTTGTGTAACAACAATAAATAGCATCAACATTCGACACGAACTCTAAATCATGTAAAATACTAAAATACGAAATGAAAAACAAAAATGCAGAACTCGTAACGTTTTTTTACATTTGCTCTTCCAAAAACTCTCGCCGTGTGCCCGCGAGATGAGATGAGAACATATCAGAGGAGAAAGGAGGAAAGATTGTAAAATAGAAGGAAAACGAGATTTTTTTTTTTTGAAGAAGAAACTGTAGTGGAACCTTCGCTGGTAAGAGGAGATGAAGGGGTAAAATGAATTGAGACTATTTTATCCTTAGTGTTTGAAAGAAAACTATATTTTTGTATTGAACTAATCGAATAATTGACGGTAAGTGGATGAAAAGACATTTTTCGCAAAAAAAGGGTGAAAATGGGATGAAAATGTCAAAAAATTAAAGATAAAAATATTTTGTGCTAATTAGTAATTACCATGTGCCGTTATATTTAGGACGTGATACATTTTTGGTTTGCCATAATCCATCCAATTACCGGAGCAACTGTCCAAAAACTAGGGTTGCAAAAAAAAAATCGCGAAATCGCAAACAGAATTGAAATCGTTGAATTTGGCCCACGTAGACCCGTGGTTTTTTTCCTTCAAACCAAACCAAACCAAACTTTTTCAAAATGATTTGGTTTAGATTTTGATTTTCAAAAATCGCACAAAATCGAAACGGACCATTTTAAATTTTTTAATTAAAATATTAATTTTATTAACTTAAAAATTTTACAGTTTTCATTTTTCAGAAAAAAAACCAATTTAGTAATACAAATTATAATCAACCTATTGAAATAATCATATAAAGTAAAGTAAATTCATCATTATTGACTTATGATTTAACAAGTTCACAACACATACCTTCACCCGATATCTAAACTAAACTAAAATTATTCCAAAATCATATGAAATGAAAAAAAAAAAAAACATATATTTTGAACAATCCAAATCATAATTCAACAAAACCACCTTAGCAAATCACGTCAAAAGTTTAGAAGCCCTAACATAAACTCTCATTTTCCTAAGATTTGACGCTTATCTACAACTGCTGGACGAATCATCGGTCGCCTTCTTATATTAGTAAGCTAATTTCTACTTGAAATGCCTATTTCTTTCTTCTCTTTCAGTATGTCTTAGATTCTCAATCAAGTCATTTTTTTGTTATTTTTTCTTTTATTTGTTATTTTTGAACTTATTATACACTTGTGAATTACGGTTTAAATAGAAAAATAACTGTTTTTGTACTTAGATGATTAATGAACTTGTTTGTAGTTTGGAAAGAACGAATAACAATTGTATTGATTGTGTGAAAATATTAAAATTCCCTAACTAATACTACTACTTTCTACTTTCATAAAGTAGTTAGACAATGAAATTCGTCAATTCCCAATAAATTGAAACTTTATCAATCTTTGTACATTTAAAACATATCTTGTTTAATCTTTATTTAACATCTCACTAGCAAGATGAAAGGAGTTTTAACAAAACTATAATAGCAGAATGTAATTCTACATTTTTCAATCGCTATATGACAAAATGAATGTCAAACAATAAAATGTAAATAAAAATAAAGAAAGTTGTATTTATTTTATTAACATCTTTTGACAACAAACTTTGAAAATAATTTATTCATAGGTTTCATGATAAATATAAATGTAATTTATAATTTACATTATTAGTTATAGTTTAAATATATACGTTAACTTATGTTAAATATATTACTATAATGTCGAAAGGTAAATCACGAATTAAAATCGAATCAAATCACAAATTATGGTTTGATTTGATTTGGCTCGATTCGAAAAAAAATAAATTTGATTTGATTTGAAAAAAATTTCAAACCACGTAAAATAATTTGAGTTAAAAAATATACCACCAACCTCCCAAATGGAACCACCGTTCACCCCTTCCACAAACGGAAATGCAGAAATCTATTGTCACCATCAAAGAAATGGCAATACATTCCTTGTCAAAATCGAAGCTGCTAAAATACAATATGTTCAATCCTCACCCATTTTTCCTAATCAATCACTTTGGACGACGGACCCAAAGTTCTCCATTTTCCAGTTGTAATTTCCACACAAGAAAACATTATTTTTCATAGAATACTACGATGCGATTACAATCGTTCTGGATGATTTTGATATCACCAAAGATTCGAAATTCTATATATAGCTCATATTTTCCTTTAACTTCTTTTTTCTTTTAAAAATAGCATTTGTCAGTGACGTTGGGTTCTCTATGTTTTATATTTCCCTTTTCCTTCCATGGAAGATCACGGGCTTCATTCATCATCATCCTCTAAGGTAATATGTTCCCGTAATACAAAGTTCAACCTGCATTTTTGTTGCTTCGTATCTTAAGTTTTATTTAGATAGCAGTTAGAGCACGTATGGCTAAGCTTAAAAGGAAGTTACTTTTAAGCTTCTTTCTAATTGAGAAAAGTTGTAGTTCATCTTGATTTTGCTTAATCAAGTTAAATTGGGACCATTTTGAAATAAAGTAGCATTAGATTAACTACATTATGGGGTGCAGAGAATTGACTACTTAGGAACATATGGAATATAGGAAACAATTCTGTTTTTCAATTTTGTTACTGTTAGTGATGGTGAAGGTGAAATAGTTGTTTTGTGAAATTAAATTACTACGTACTAGTTTAGTATTATGCATAGAGTTATTTATTTATTTAAATAAGCTTATTCTGACACCAGCATACGATGTTTTCTATTATGTTGTCATATGAACATCTGTGAGTGTATAGAGAGATAGGAAGTTGTAACCTTTAACTGAAAGTATTTGCTGTAGTTCCACAGTCTTGTTTAGCCGTCACCCGATTTGCATGATGGCTTCAATTGATGAATAATTTATAGTGAATTCAGTAGTAAATTGAAAATTTTTGCATGTCAATTGCTATATGAGACTATGGATTGCTGAAATTGTTCTGCAACTAACAATTCCGATTTGCAAACTCAGCAGAACTGAAAGGGTATTAGTGTTGTCCTAACTTAGTGTATAATGTTATGGACAAATCAAAATAAATAAGAACTTCTATCATATCTATGTCAGTATTTCTGCAATTAGTTTAATGATTTGGAAATTCGGGGATAACTTATCGAAAATGATCCTGTTTCCTTTTATTCATTCGAGTAATTTATCTGTTTTGTCCACTGCATGACATGGGAACCTAGTCTTCAAATTCTATCTTAAACAATGTTGGTTACCTTGTGGTTTTCCACAGCGGATGCCATCTCAGAGAATTGACTCCGAAGGTCCATATCGCCTTCTATCTTGTTCAAGTAAGGGTGATAAGGCTGGTGTTATACAGGAACTGAAGAAAGGAGTAGACATTAATTTAGCTGACTATGATAAGAGAACAGCACTGCATTTAGCGTCATGTGAAGGGTGTACTGAGATCGTCAAGCTACTTCTTGAGAATCTAGCTGATGTTAACTCCACAGATCGCTATGGTCGCACGGTGAGTGCATACTTGTGGATTTTTGTTAGGGAGAATTGGATAGTCTCAAGCAGTATCAATGAACAAAACATGAGCTAAATCTTGTTTTGCTGTAATGTTAATTCCTATAAATCGTTGCATACCAGACATGCTTCTTGGTGCTGGCTTATTATTTGACTATTTATTTCAGTCCTAATTGGAATTTTAGTGGTCAAATTGCATTTATACGTCCTTAAACTTCCTTTGTTGAAATTTGAGACCAAGTTTACTCTCATTCTGTCCATAGTAATCTAAGCTATCGCTACTTGAGCAGAATAACCTCGTTGATATTTATCATTTGCTATCCAATTTTCCCGATCATAGCAAATTTAAAGAAAATCCCCCCCCCCCCCCCCCAACATTCTGATTTATTTGATATTAAAGGTCTGTACAAAGTTTTCGCACATTTGCATAAACTGTAACATATCACAGTTCATCTCTAGTATCTCATGTTTGTTCCTTGTTGAAGACAAGATTTACAATTTAAGCTTTTAGATCTATCACAACGCCACCTACATGTGAGAAGGCATGTTGAAGACTATATTTAATGATATGTATGTCGCTCTCTTTGACGATCAAATGGTTCAACATAATTGTTATGCCTTGTGACACTCAGAATATGTGGATGATAATCTTGAAAATTCAAAAGCTTGATAAACTGTGTGCATTTAGATATCTTCATTCATGGGATTATCAATATGTTTGGCTAACTTTGATGAGTAATATAAAGTTGTTACTTCTAAGTAACTTTTTATTTCCAAACACGTTTGGATAATTGGATATATTACATTTTACTTAGTTACGAGTAAAAAAACTAATTTATTTTAACAATAAGGTAGGAGTTACTGTCAAGATAAGTAACTTATTTTTAACTTTGAATAACTAAAGAATTATTTATTTAAAACTTATTTGTAAATAAATTTTTTAAGCTTAGTGAAACATGCACTTGATGAAAATATTTATTTTGGTCATTAATTTGTGAAAGAATTTTTTGAATCTAATGACATTAAATTATAATGACTATAATCATTATCTATCAATGGCAGCCTTGAGAAAGACAAGATCTTGGATAGCATTGCCATTTTCATTAGCTTTTAATCACCAATGTGATTATTTGTTTTAACCGCAAAGTTGAAATTAAGAAGGGTCTAAAAATGTTGCGTCTCATCTATGCCTTCTAAATTTTCTGAAAAGTACTTAAATATTCTATTTCAATTGCTTGGGACAGGTGGGACTTGACTCTCAGACTCCGTATTATGAAATTGATCACACAGAGGTGAAAATGGCAGACAGAATTCTTATTGGAGAAGTAATTTCTCTTTCCTGAAAGCCAAGGCAACTATCTTCTTTAAAGCCAAATCATCTTTGAGATTTTACTCCTCTGGCCAAAAGCACACATCTGTACATTCAAGTTTAGTTGTTGTATCTAATAAGAAAATAGCATCTTTAAATGCTAATGACAGGGCGCATATGGTGAAGTTTATTTAGTTAGGTGGCGCGGCACAGAAGTTGCCGCAAAAACAATTCGTTCATCCATCGCGTCAAACCAGATGGTGAAGTGAGTTCTACTATTTATTACTTTATGTCATTTTAAAAATAAGAATTTTATATATGGCTACATTCTTTGTTGAATCTCTGTTCCTTTTCTACTATTGTATCATCTGATGGAGTTACACACAAATTTTACAATATTGAAAAGGAAGAAAAGCATCTAAATAGTTATCTGACTTTTTCTATTTATGAAGATCTAAAAAGTGAACGTGTAAGCTTCACTAAAAACTTGACAATGATTCTGTTATCTTTGTTTTATATTAGTCATTTTTACTTGTTCTCCTTTAGATTAAAAGTATATCGTAACTAAATGATACTGTCCCAGATGAAATTCTGTTGATATCTTGATGAGTAAAAATATGCATGACAATTATATTTTGAAAAAGCTTTTTATTGGCATATGGTTAATCTTAATTGCTTACAGGGAGAATTTTCTGAAGGAACTAGCATTGTGGCAAAAATTGCGTCACCCTAATATAGTGCAGTTCCTTGGCGTTTTAAATCACCCTGATCGCCTGATTTTCCTCACCGAGTATCTACGAAATGTAAGTGTGACCTTCTGATTTTTGAGTCTTGGGGGATGCATGTGCTAATACTTCGATAAATTGGAATGCTAGGGAAGTTTATATGATATATTGAAAAGAAAGGGAAGACTTGATACACTGACTGCTGTTGCCTATGCTTTAGATATTGCAAGGTACATGTTTAACAAGCACTAGTGCTTCCATATATGTATCTTATTGGATTGTATGGAGCCTAATCATACTATTCAGTTATCCCCTCGATCGCGGACAAATTTTTGTGTTTACAGAGGTATGAATTATCTTCATCAGCATAAACCTCGTCCCATAATCCACAGAGATTTGACACCAAGGTATGGGCAACCTTCCAATCGCATTATGCTAATGTTTTTAGTCATTGATATGGGAAAGCAAATATACGAATTAATCTGCTAAATTTACCAGTGCCATTTTTTCCCAAATTCTTCTTGTATGATAGTCTTGAGAGTTATGGTAGAAGTTTACTTTTCTTGCAGAAATGTTTTGCAAGATGAGGCTGGGCACCTTAAAGTCACAGATTTTGGTCTCAGCAAAATCGCACAGGAAAAAGATGCTCAGGGTTATAAAATGACTGGTGGAACTGGATCCTGTAGGACTAGCCTGATACCTCTGTGAAACGGATAATTTTTTAGTCGACTAACTCATATTCTTATAAAATGCTTTTGTAATGATTATCAGACCGCTATATGGCTCCAGAAGTCTTTCGTCGAGAATCTTATGGGAAGGGCGTGGATGTCTTTTCTTTTGCTTTGATTGTCCATGAGGTGAACAGATTTCTTATCTTTATACAATAGTCATCTAAGGCATGTATGGTATGCAGAATTAGACAGAAATGGTAGTGCATTATATTGGACTTAAACTTATTTCTCCTCATTAGTATTGTCCCATACCAAACATAATATTAAAGTTCTTTCTAAGCACATATAATTTCTAATATCTTCGGAATGCTGTCTTGCCATAAATGAAAATGCTACAGATGTTCCAAGGAGGACCGTCAAATAAGGGAGAAGATCCAGAAAAACTGGCAGACAAGCGAGCATATGAAGATTTACGGCCATCTGTATCTTCACATGTATATCCGGAACCAATCAAATTGTGAGTTAATTAAATAATCCTCATATCCGACCTTCCTATTTTTATTCTCTCTCTTTCCAATGACCATGAAATCTTGTGATGTCATTGTAATAGTATACCAGCATCAAAATTCCAGTAAATCTTACATGCTACTCTTTTCTGAAACCGGATTGTAAGAATACTTTGTTCATTTGATAATTGTGATTATATCATTACATCACTATTTCAAAGTTATTACTGGCAAATGAACTTATCAGAAACTGATCTACTCAACCACGATTACTTTTTTTATTATAGGGGTGAGTATTTATATGTTTTTGTTAAGTTGTCCTAGTTTGTATGCTATAAATAAGAATCCAAGGATCGTGTATCAAAGCCAACGAGCTGTGAGGAAAACCCTGTAATTCTCCTTCATATAGTGAAAAATTTGAAGCGGCATTAAGGGTAAACCACTATAAATCTCTGTGTTTCTGTGCGTGCATTTCTATTTTTTCCTTCTCATCCATTGTTGCTCTTGGAATTGGGGTTATGCCAGTTTCGTGTACCAAATCAAGGTTGCCTGATTAAAGTCGTTACCTTTGGCAGGCTTCTACGAGAATGCTGGCATAAGAACCCCGAATTTAGACCTTCATTTGCAGAAATTATTTTGCAGCTGGAGATCATCCAAGAACGTCTACAGCAAAAAGCCTTAGTAGACTGCTGTAGCTGTATTGTGTTATGAGATGAATTTGGTACATTGCATATAATGACATTTTTCTTTTTCATTTGCAGCTTATTTTGTGCTGGTGTATTTGCTGTCTTATCCTGTTTCATCTTATATATTGTGTTTATCTTTCTTTCTTCTAAGTACAGCAAAATTATAATACTCGATGTTAAATCTTTAGTTATGTCATGTTTAGTACCCTTTGGAGGGCACCAGCAAACATAAAATTGAAATCAAACACCAATTATTTAATCTACCCTTTACAACTATTCTTGAATGCAATAAGGAGAAGCAGTTAGAGGGGAAATGGAGATACTGCAGAGCCCAGTTTCTTGGGTGTGGTTTAAGCCAAAGAAGCTTGAGAAACTCCTACAAATTGTTGT